ACACCTTTACCCTCTTTACTTCTGCTTCTTTTTTTCCTTTTATTCCATCTACCCTTTTTCTCTCACTGTACAACAACAAAAGTGCTTGATAACTGTGGCCCTCTATAAACATGTACATCCTGAATCTCTCAACAGTCTTTTACTACCCAATTCATAGTCCAACAAATTACTGTCAATACCCCTACATCATATTTTATATACTATTTTTCCCTTTTTTCAAAATGGTATTATTTATAACTAAACCCCTTTCTAACAAAGTTCAATCAAAAAAAGGGGTCCCCTTATCATTTATCCCTGGCCCCCAAAATTACGTACCCCCACCCCTCTAAATGTTTCTCCTACTTTAGCATTTAGGCCCCCTACCACAATTACTCTCTCATTTGGTTCAAAGGTTCCTATACATTCGCTTAACATCTCCCAAAATCTCTCTCTCTCTCCTCTACACTCCTCTCTTCTCCAGGTGCATACACGCTTATTATGACCCACTTTTCACATCCGATCCTTATTTTAATCCACATAGTCCTTGAATTTACACATAATTATCAATGTATTGTTTACAAAACTTGTTTGCACAAACAAACATTACAAAAAATTATTTATTACTATTGTTCTATAATACAGTGGATCTTGGGTTATTGGCCGTAATCCGTTCCAGAAGGTTGGCTGATGACCGAAATGGCTGATAACCGTATTAATATTTCCCATAAGAATTAATGGAAATACAATTAATCCATTCCAAACAAAAGCATTCACAAAAAAAATAATTTTTTTAACAATTATGTAAGTATTACATACCATTATTGAAGGCTAATGCTGGCTTCTGGAAGATAGGGAGGAGGAAAGAGGGAGGAGTTAGTGTTTGGAAGGGATATCCCCCTCCTTAAAGACTTTAGGTAGCAAAGCCTTCTCTGGGGTTACTTACCTTCTCTGTTTTTTATTGCCACTAGGACCAGCTTGAGAGTCACTGGACCCCTGTTTCAAAATAACTGTCCAGAGTGCTCTGTTTCTGGCATCTCTTTAAGATATTCTTGAAGTGGGACAGGGTTTTGTCACTAAACATGTTGCAGATATGGCTTGTTTCAGCTTTGTCAGGGTGGTGTTTCTCTACAAAAGCTTGCACCCTAGTCCACATTGCACACACCTCTTTCATCTTTGAAGAAGGCACCTCCTTCACTCCGTCTTCCTCCTCCTCTGAAGCAAGTTCCTCAGCTGCAGTCTGTTGCTGTTCAAGTTGAAGCTCTTGCAGCTCTTCAGTGGTAAGCTCTTCCCTGTGGTCCTCCACTAACTCTTCCACATCCTCACCACTCACCTCCAACCCCAGAGCCTTCTCCAGTGCCACAATAGAGTCCACAGGGTCAGCAAGGTCAGGGTTAGGGTGAGCTTCAAACCCTTCAAAATCCCTCTCTTGAACACAATCTGGCCACAGTTTTCTCCAAGCAGAGTTCAAAGTCCTGGAAGTCACTCCCTCCCAAGCCTTACCTATAAGGCTAATGCAGTGAAAGATAATGAAGTGATTCCTCCAGAACTGTCTTAGGGTCAACTGAGTGTCCGAGGTCACTTCAAAGCACTTTTGAAACACTGCTTTTGTGTAGTTTTTTGAAGTTAGAAATGACCTGCTAGTCCATGGGCTGGAGGAGAGGAGTGGTGTTAGGAGGCAAGAACTTCACTGTGATGAAACTGAAGTCCCTAAACACTTAGTCTTCCAAGTTTGGAGAATGTGCAGGAGCATTGTCCAGTAACAGGAGGCACTTGAGTGGCAATTTCTTTTCTAGGAGGTATTTTTCCACACTTGGGCCAAACACATCATTAACCCACTCTTTGAAAATTTGCCTTGTGACCCATGCCTTATGATTAGCTTTCCACGTCACACACAATCTATTCTTCACGACATTGTTTTTCTTGAACGCTCTGGGATTTTCTGACTGATACACAAGTAAAGGCTTCACTTTGAAATCCCCACTAGCATTACCACAACAAAAGAGTAAGAGTAGGCTTGTGTCCTGGCAGTGCCTTTTCCTCCTGGGTAATGTAGGTCCTGTTTGGCATTTTCTTCCCAAACAGGCCTGTTTTGTCACAATTGAACACTTGCTGGGGTTCGAATCCTTCAGCCTTTACATAGTCCTGGAATTCGTGAACATACTTTTCACCTACACATTTGTCAGAACTTACAGCCTCACCATGCCTTACAACACTGTGTATGCCACTATGCTTCTTAAATCTGTCAAACCATCCTTTTGCTGGCCCTAAATTCACAAACTGCAGCACTTGTTCCAGGCATTTTCTTTGCAAGATCCTCATGCAACTGCTTTGCCTTCTCAAATAATCAACTCCACAGCACTGTGTCCCACAAATTCTTTTTCCTTAATCCACAATAATAATAACTTTTCCATCTCTTCCATTATTAGTGGCCTTTGTTTAGTTAGAAAAGTTATTCCTTTTGCAACATCTTTGATTTGTTCTTTCTTTGTCAGGATGGATGTAATTGTTGATTTATTCTTGCTGTACATCCTGGCAAGTTCCACTACCTTCATCCCACTCTCAAACTTTTCTGTCACTTCACGCTTAAATTCCATGGTGTTTCTCACTTTCTTTACCACAGGAGCTTTACTAGGAACTTTCTTTGGAGCCATGGTTACTTATTTCACAGTTGCACTGGAAGAAAAACCACTAAAAAAATGGTAAACAAGCGAAATGTTTGGATGTATGAGCAGAAGCTTCCTCAGCCACCGAGATACAAAGCCAAACTGAAGCACAAGCTGCCCCAGCCTGCGGATGGACGCGCTGAAAATGGCTGATAACTGGTGCTGAAAAACCCGCCGCTAACCGAGTTGGCCGATAACCGGGGGGCCTGGTGGCTAAAGCTCTCGCTTCACACACGGAGGGCCCGGGTTCGATTCCCGGCGGGTGGAAGCATTTCGACACGTTTCCTTACACCTGTTGTCCTGTTCACCTAGCAGCAAATAGGTACCTGGGTGTTAGTCGACTGGTGTGGGTCGCATCCTGGGGGACAAGATTAAGGACCCCAATGGAAATAAATTAGACAAATCCTCAATACGCACGATTTTTTTGGGTTATCCCCGGGGGGCTA